TGTTCATAATCATATTAACAGAGACTTTGGTTTGCCAAGCCCTTCCCATTTCCCAGGCCCCTGCCCACTGCTGTGTGTCCCTCCCTGGACTGTGGGCTGGTTTTAGAAGCGTGGATAGTTGTCAGCGGCCCTGGTCTAGCTCGGGCTCCTGGAGCCGCACGTGGAATAGAAGGAAACACTCTGCCTGGTCCCAGTCCTGTCCATCTTCACGGCCGTCGACCGACGAGCCCCTGGCCGCAGCTGCTGTGCGTTCCAGTGCCCGTGTCGCCGAGCGCTGGGCCGGCAGGATTATCCGTACGACTTTCTTTGACTCCTTTTTGGAAGTAGATCCATGGTAAAAACAGTCCTCCTTCCTACTCTGAGCTTGGAAGCTATGCCGAAACCTCTCCGTCATGAAATCTGCTGGTGCTTGAAATACTGGTGGCCTCACCTCTGGCATCTACAGCACACAAGCCACCACAGTACGAGAACTTGACCGATGAGGCCGAGAGTGTGTGTGGACATATATCCCCAGGCGTGTGCTTTTTTCTCTCTTTCTCCCTGTGGCACCAGGGTTCTGGGTAGACTTGGAATATAAAATAAAGTTACACTTATTTCATTTAAGGTGACTGGCTCCGGAGGCGAGTGTTACACAAGTGGTGGGATTTGCAGGAGTTCTGGGGTAGCTGGAAGGGGAGCTCTGATGGCCTGATAGGTGAAGAGTTGAGCTGCGCACCCAAAGGCAGGCAGTTTGCATCCACCAGCTGCTCTGCGGGAGAAAGACAGGCAGTCTCCTCCTGTGCGAGTTGCAGCCTCTGAAAACCCATTGGAAAGTTAGCTATGGATCTGTCAAACTCAGAAGGCACTGAATTGAGTTGAAGGGCAGCCCCTTAGTGCTGTGGTGGTGTTTGAATATCTGGTGTTTTGGGGGAGACTGTGTGTGTTAATGTCACCCACATGTAGATTCTGAGGTATGAGGAAAACTATTGCCTCTGTTTTTCAGATGTTGAAACTGAAATTCAGAGAGAGGAAGTGACTTACTTCCTCAAGGCCACTTGATATAAAGAGCTGGGAGGCTGGACTTGGTCCCTCTGAGACCAGAAAGCTATTGTCCAAGCAGAACAAGAGCACACTGCATGGTTTCAAATCAGGAAAAGTCTGCATCAGGGTTGTAGCCTTTCTCCATACCTCTTCAGATCTGTATGCCAAGCAGAAAACTGGAGAAGCTGAACTCCATGAAGAAGAACATGGCAAGAGGATTGGAGGAACACTCCTTAACAACCTGTGTTATGCAGATGACACAGCTTTGCTTGTTCAAAGTGAAGAGGACTTGAAGCTCTTGCTGCAGAAGATCAAAGACTTCAGTCATCAATATAAATAACATCTCAACATCAAGAAAACAAAAATCCCAACCCCTGGACCAACAGGCAACATCATCGTCGATGGATAAAAGATTGAGATTGTCAATGATTTACTCAGACTTGGATCATACTTGAATCCATAACCAACAACCTTAGTACCAGATTCAGGAGATTAAGAGATGTACTACATTGGGCAAGTCTGCTGTCAAGGACTTCTCCAAAGAACTGAGGAGCAATGATGCCAGATTGAAGACTAAGGTGCACTCTCTTCAGGCCGTGGTCTTGTGAGTCACTTGTTATAAATCTGAGAGCTGGACAGTGAATAAGGGTGACAGAGAATAATTGACGCCTTTGAGTTGTGCTCTTAGACAAGAGTATTGAATAGCCTATGGCCTGCCAAAAGAACAAACAAACAGGTCTTGGAGAAAGTGCAGGCAGAGTGCTTCCTGGAGGCAAAGATGATGAAGCTTTGTCTCACATCTTTTTTCTTAAAAAAGAGAAATGTAGAGCTCTGGTGGCCTAGTGGCAAGAAGCTGTACTGCAGTCCCAGAGGCATGCTGTTTGGATCCACCAGATGCTCTGCTGGAGAAGGAGGGACAATCTCCTCCTGTACCTGTTAGATCTGATTTAACGGCCACACACACACTAAGTAATAGTAATAGTAACAGTAACAGTAACAGTAACAGTAACAGTAACAGTAACGGTAATAGTAATAAATAAATTAAAAAAGAGAAATGTAAGCACATTAATAAAGTTTTTTACATTAACAAGCTTTCAAATGTTCATTCATCTTTGATACTCAAGACTTAAGTTGGATAATTTGTTTTACCCTCTTCAGCTTTACATCTTTTTAAACTCCTTTATTTGTTCTTTCACATAGAGAGCTCTGTTGGTTTAGTGGCTAGAAAGCGATGCTACCAAGCCGAAGGTGGGTCATTTTAACCTGCCACCCTCAGGCCTGGTTTTAATTCTTTTTGGCCAAACATTCTTTTAAGTGGTACAGGACTGGTCTGTCCATTTGCTGTACAGAGATAACTCGTGGTTGCTGTGAGGCTGAACACTGTGACGCTGATGTGTCAAATGCGATAATGGTTACCCATGATGGATAGTGTTTGGTGGAGCTCCCTGATGAAAACAGACTTGGAAGCAGGAGTGGCATCCACTTCCAAAATAGCTTGCCTCCGGAAACTCTGTGAACTTGGAGAAACGATGAAAGTTATACAGGTGTTCAGGTCTTTCATTCATAGGGTCACTATGACTCATCTATGACTCGATGGCACTTAACAACAACAACAACATTTGTTCTTTGTTTCTGCCCCTCCTAGACTCATGCATATAGCTTTAGTCCTTATTTTTTTTGAATATGTACCTTTTTCTTCTTGTTTAGATTCTCTTCTTGTTTATGGAATTTTCCCTTCCCTCTGTTGGTTTTCTAATTTTATAGCAACCATTAAATCTTTTTATGATACTTTTCACATATGTCCCTGTTTTCGCTGTTTGTATTTCATTCTCTGTGATTGGAGTTTTTTGGGGTCTAGTTTTATCTTGTCTCACGTCTTTTGAACATGTTGCTAAGAGAGAGCTCGGAAAGGGACCCCCACTCTTAGGTAGGTGGAGGGTTGGCAAAGAGAAGACCCTCAGTGTTGAGCTCGAGTATGGCAGAGACACTATGGATGGCAGGGGATAGGACAGGATTATTCACAGGGTTGCCGAGCTGTACCTGACAGCAGTTAACAACAGCGTCAATACCAACAACGTTTACCCTGGGTTTAAGCCCAGAAGGAGGCCGAGATGGGCTGGAGGCCGAACGGAAATAGCAGCGGTGCAGTTTGTTCTGTTACATTGTGGGGGTTACAATCAGTGTCTCCGAGCAAAATGTGCAGAGACTTGTTGACTAGGAAGCTAATTTGTTCCCTCCACTTTCATCTCAATGATAATTGAGAAGCAAAGCAAAACAAAAACAGCTAATTACACAGTGCGCCCTGCTGGGCGCCCAGGACCTGCGCTGGGCAGCCTCCCGACAGGGTCACACCACGATCATCATCGGTCTTGTTTGGAATCCCTTGGCTTTCGGGGTCTGAAAGGTTGCTGGCGCCTGATTGAAGGATTGTCTCTTCTGTGATGCTTCCCTCTCCGTGTGTCTGAACTCTTGCTGGTACATAACAGAAAGCCTATTTTAAACCAGTGAAGGTGGAACCCCCAGGCATGTGGGGGAGACAGTGTGGAATATTTCAGATGGAAGGGTACAGGGGACCTTCCCTCCAGGGATGGGGGTGAGGGGCCAGTTGTGACCCTGGGTGAAAGGAGCACCTTAGCTCGCCCAGATGGCATATGCTGGCTTCAGTCACTGCTGTCACCAGGACACCTGCAGTCCAGCCTTTCCGCCCTGCCTCCTGCCATCAAGTTTGATGTTCATTGGCTCAGATTAAATCACATGACCATCCCGGAACCAATTAGTGCCTCGGGCATGATGCAAGACACTGACTGGCTGGCCTGCATCAAATGGCCCTGCAGGGAACTCTAGTCTCCCAAGGAAAGTTGGGGGTAGAGTGGGTGCGAACCCTAGATACCCTCACCCTTGACCTGCTCTCTGTATCAGACCAAAGGCAGGTTCCTGGTGGAGGTCCCCAGTGACCCCTGTGATGAGGGTAGAAGGGTTGAGGGGGTGTCATGCTCAGGTTGCAAGGAGGTCAGTTGTGACCCTGACCAGGCGAGACAGGCGGTGTCTGGACGTGGACTGAGGATGGGGGTTTCCAGAAGCTTCTGGAGGATGGACCAGGTTCCCCTTGGCTCATGCCTGGAATTCAGTCCTGCTTCCTTCCTGGGTCCCAGTTTCCCACCTGTGATGCTCGCTCACTGGGCATTTCTTCAGTGTTTGTAGCTGGAAGCAGGGAGGCCTGGCTTGTCTGCGGTCACCCCTGACCTGCATCCCTGTCTCTTCTGACCCGTTCCTCGCTTGCCAAGGACACCATGGGCCCTTCCGCTGGTCCCGCCTCTCTGGACAGGCCCGGTGGCAGGGTGCCCAGTGGCTGCCTAGTGCTTCCCGAGAACTTTGTCCTGACAACTGGTTGTTGTAGCTTGAGATTGGGGTTGAGGAGGACCTGGGACTGTGGTCAGGCCAGTGCATGTGGACGTTGGGGTTCTGTGGAGGAGGCTGGGGATTGGGACTGAGGGCGCCAAGGGAAGAGGGTAGTGCCTGTGGACGTTGGGGTTCTCTGGTGTGAGATTGGGGACCACATGGGGATCTGGTAGTTACCTCAGAAGTTGGGGATCAGGGAATGTTGTTGGGGTCAGCAGGCATGGTGAGAGTGGTGCCTGAAGAGTGTAGGGTGAGGTGGTGGCCGTGGTGGAGGTCCTGTCCAGGGCGGGGTGGGGCCCTTGGCTGTGGGGTGGACAGGACACTCATTCCTGGTGTGAGCCCTGGGGTCCAGAGGGCTGGCTGCGTGGGTCAGTGTCCTGGGGGCACTGATACCTCCTGTCTGTTAGTGAAAGAGGGAGGACATGGGTGGAGGACGTGGTGATCTTCATATCCGGTCCCCCTGGACTCACCTGTCCTTTTTCCCCTGTCTTCACAGGTACCTGTGACTGTGGCCGGATGATGACAGCTGACCTCTAACCCCTGGTGGCAGTTGTGAGAGAAACCCCAGACCTCCCCCCACCATGTCGGGGTCCACACAGCCCGTGGCGCAGACGTGGAGGGCCGCTGAGGCCCGGTACCCGCCCCACGGCGTCTCCTACCCTGTACCCATCGCCCGGCCACACACGGTAAGGCTCCACGGCGGGGGACTGTCCAGGGCCACACTCACTTCCAATGCCAATCCTCATGCCAGTCCCACCTTTTCCTGACTCCCTGGGGCCCCCAAGTTCAGCCCTGAAGGCAGATGGGCTGACCAAGGAAGACCTCCAGCATCATTTATTGTTATTTTTTTTTTTATTTTATTTTATTAATTTTAATGAACATTTACAGAGACTTTGGATTTCCATTCATTCATTGTTGCACTTTTCTCCCTGCCCACCCCTTTCCCCCCCACCAGTTCGGCCCTCTCTCTGAAAAGTAAAATAAAAATTCCTTCATTGGTATCTAGTCCCCCCCGACCGCCAGCGCCTTAAGGCCGGTCCCAAGCCTGGGGCATCTGGGAAATTTGTTGATCTTGTTTAACAGTTGAGGAAGCAGAGACCTGAGCTCTCTGCCACTCGGTATCAGTGAAACGGCCCAGGCTTGGTCTGCTTCCCCGTGGATTGGCATGCACACATAGAGCACCTGCTGTATGCACTCTGCATACAGTCCAGCTTTTTATAATCTCATTCCTTGCTTTGAATCTTCGGTAGCTTTCTGGGGACTGTTGTTCTGGCACCTGAACCCCTTTTCCCACGCTTGTAGCCCGGGGCTCCCAGTTACCAAGGCTCAGTGCATGCTACATCTGCCCCTTTCAGTGTTGGGGTGACAGGCTGGTAGGGATGCCCTTGTCGGAGCAGATGGGCTCTTAAGCGTTCACCACCTCCCCCAGTCCTTATCCAGCTCAGTGGCTGCTGGGTTCACGTGGGCAGTTTTTTGGTCAGCAGTCCAGTGCTTGATCTACAGTGTCACTCGGACCTCTCCATCAGGAGTATGACCTTGAACTCCTTTCAAGCTGTGGGGTAGCTGTGGTCCGAGCGGACTGGACAGCAGAAAGTGGATGATCAAGGAGGGAACCCTGGTAGCTCAGTGACTAAAAATCCAGCTGCTGTCTGTGAGGCCAGTGGTTCAAACCCACCAGCTAGCCTGAGGGCTGGAGATGAGGCAGTCGACTTCTGTAGTGATTTTTCAGCGTTGTGGACACCGTGAGCAGTTCTGCTTGGTCCCCTGCATGGTTGCCGTGCGTGGAATCGACTGGAAGTTCCCAGCACCAGCCTGCACCACGGCCCCAGTGCTGCCTCCCCGTGTGCCCTCCAGGCTGCTTGGTGAGGGGCTGGAGCTGAGGAGGAGCCCACAAAACCACTGCGGTGGGCGCTGCTCCGTTTGCCTCGTCCGCGTCCACCAGGCAGAGTGGTCCCTCCTGTGTGATGTAGAGAGGAAGTGGCGTGGGAGGGCCCTTCCGGCCGAGCGGATGCTTTGTGCTTGAACTTGCTGGCCTGGTGTCAGGGGCCCAGAACCTCAGCCTTTGGAGGCCTGGGGACCAGGACAGGCCGCAGAGCCTCTGCTGCTGGCTGCTCTGTCCTGCCAGCCCCGTGCCAGCCTTGTGGGCTCTCAGGGTACCCGCAGGCCCTGCCCTGCCCCCTCTGTCTCATCTCGCCCTTGACCTGAGCAGGGCTCGCCCTTGGCCTTCGGGGTCACCAGATGACCCCATGCTCTTTGTACTCTGCCCCCTGGGTCCTCCCTGATGTCGGCTGTGGCTGGACGGGACCCAGCACGATCATCACTGCCTCAGGAGGAGGCTGAGGTCAGGGCACGGCTGGTGGGGCCAGGCCTGGGCAGCTGGGGTGGGAGGATTGTGGGGCTGGAGGGAGACGGTGGCCCAGGTGGGCCCTTCTGCCTGGAGTTGCCCGTGCCCTCGTGTGCACGTGAGATGACAGCCTGGCGTCGGCAGAGGTGTGTGAACACCTGTGTGCACACGCACACCTGTGGCCATGTGCACGTGCACACACGCCAGGCCCTCCCACTCGTGCATCTGACCGTGTTTCTGTCTGTGGTGTCTTGGGCAAGGACCTTCCCCGTCTGTCCTGGCTGCATGTCTTTAGCCCGCGCTCAGCCCCCGGGGCCGTGGTATCCGCCCTCTCACCCTCCTGCTCTGATGAGGGTTGATCCTTTCTTGGGGTCGGGGTGGTGGGGGTGGGGAGTGTGTGGAAGGTGGTGTTCTTCTGGGTCAGGCTGTCGCGAGCTCTTCCAGGTCGATTGTCCCACCTGGTGTGACTGTCCGGAGCTATGGGGTCAGCGTGAGGTGACAGCCCTGTGCTTCCCCCCTTTCTGCGCCCTCCCCTGAGATGACCTGATCCCTGGTGCCCCTCGAGGCCGGCTGCCCCTCTTCCTCCGGTGTCTGACATCTGCCCTGTGGACGGTCAGTCCCTCTGCGCAGGTGGCGAGCCCTTGAGCTCTCTGTGCCTCGGTTTCTGCCATCAGGTGGGGCTGGCAGCCGAGCTAAGGTGTGGTACATGCGGACTGAGTTGTGTGTGAGGCCTGGGAACAGTGCTGGCATCAGAGGGCAGTACCAGTGGCTGGTGGTGACTCACCGCATCCACTGCTGAGACCGAGAGCACAGGACACCCGAGTGGAACTAGACATGAGAGCCGTAACATCTGCCCAACTCTTCCCCCACTTGCTGCCTCAGGCCAGGGGATCTGCATGCCCATTTTACAGCTGGGCAAACTGAGGCCTAGAAGTTAAACAGTTATCCAGGCTCACCGTCCATGGAGTGGTGGAGTGTGGAGGGTGGGGCTGGGGGCTCTGGGGTGCGGCTGGTGTGGGTGGACAGCCCCAGGCTGGACTCATGTGCTCCTGTCCCCCCCCGCAGGACGTTGGGCTGCTAGAGTACCAGCACCACCCTCGAGACTTCTCCTCCCACCTGTCTCCCGGCTCCATCGTCCAGCCTCAGCGCAGGAGGCCGTCTCTGCTGTCCGAGTTCCAGCCTGGGGGCGAGAGGTGAGGGGGCTGTGGCGGGTGCTGGCCTCGGGGCTGAGGCTGAACTCCGGGGCCTGGCAGGAGCAGTCCTGGAAAGAACTGTGTGACCACTGGAAGGATAGCAGTCGGGGTCCCCGGACGCCCTTTCCTTCAAGCGTGTGTACGTGTGTATCTCTCTGTGAATGTGAAGAAGCCGTGATGCCTTTTACCTCAAGTGTGTGGACGTGTGTATCTCTCTGTGAATGTGAATGAGCCTGTGTGGGGACGTACGTCAGTCAGGGATGTGCATCTGTGTGCGGTGCAGGCTTGCTGACATATATGCAGGCCTGGGTCTCTGTGTGCATGCTTAGACAGTCTTGTGGACTTGAGTGTAGGCAAGTCCATCTCATTTTCATTGAGTCAGAACCGACCGAGATCTGACTCCCGGCCAGTTTTCAGAGACTCTTTAAGTTGCACGGGAGGAGATTGTCTGTTCTTTTCTCTCAGAGAAGCTGGTGGATTCGAACTGCTGGCCTTTGGCATTGCAACTCCTTATCCACAAGGCCACTAAGATTGACGTATATGAATGGATGTCCAAGTGTGTGTGTGTGTATGTCCACATGGGTGGTGGACACTTCTTTGTGTGCTCACTGATGTGCGTACGGGCATTTATGCAAACAGTATGTCTGTATGAGTACATCCATCTGTCCAGAAGCACGTTCATGTATCTGCCTGAATAGATGTGTACCTAGAGATGTAGGAATATACACTCCTGTGACGCTCTGTGTGTGTGTACGTATGTGTAGCTTTGTATTCATGTGTGTATGAAGAAGAATGTCTGTGCTTCATTGACTGTGCAAAGGCTTTTGACAGTGTGGATCACAACAAGCTCTGACTCTGAGAAGAATGGGAATCCCAGAACATTTGATTGTGCTAATGTGAAACCTATACTTGGACCAAGAGGTAGTCATCAGAACAGAGCAGGGCAACACCACATGGTTCAAAATTAAGAAGAGGGTCCGTCAGGGATGTATTCTGTCTCCATACCTTTTCAATCTGTATGCAGAACAGATCATCGGAGATGCTGGGCTGTACAAGGAGGAATGTGGCATCAGGATTGGTGGAAGAGTCATCAACAATCTGTGTTACGCAGATGAAACAACCCTGCTTGCTGAAACTGAGGAGGACCTGAAGGGCTTGCTGCAGAAGGTCAAGGACTGCAGCCTCCAGGATTGAAGCTCAACATCAAGAAAACAAAGATTCTCACCACTGGGCCAATTGGCAGCATCAGTATGGATGTTGAAGAGATTGAGATAGTTAACAGTTTTAGTTTGCTTGGCTCTGCAATCAACACTCTTGGTAACAGTAGCCAGGAAATCAAGAGACGAATTACATTGGGAAAGTCAGCTGTGAGGGACCTCTCAAAAGTACTGAAGAGCAACAACATCAGGCTGGAGACTAAGGTGCACCTGATCTGGGCTATAGTCTTCACAATTACATGCTATGCATCAGAGAGTTGGACAGTGAATAGGGATGATAGAAAGAGAATTGATGCCTTTGAGCTGTGGTGCTGGAGAAGAGTGTTGAATATACCATGGACTGCTAGGAGAACAAACAGGTTCGTTCTGGAGAAGGTGAAGCCAGAATGTTCTCTGGAGTCAAGGATTCTGAAGCTTCGTCTGACATACTTTGGGCATGTTGCAAGCAGGACTGGTCCTTGGAGAGGGACGGCGAAGGAGAGGAAGACCTTCGGTGAGATGAATCGATTCTGTGACTGGTGTGGTGGGAATAAATGTGTTTGAGATGGCGAGGTTGGCACAGGATAGAACGGCGTTTAGAGCTCTTGTACATAGGGTCGCTGTGAGTCGCAAGCGACTTGATGGCACACAACAACAACAACAAGATGCACATATAGATGGTATATACGTGTGCGTGGATGTGGACAGATCTGTATGCACGGGATTGCTTGTTACGTGTATTTACACGTGTGTGTGTGCGCGCGCGTGTGCATGTGTGTATATGGTATCTGGATTCTTTAATGTTTATTCATGCATGCGTGTATGTACACACATGTATACATAAATGGGTGTGTGCAGATGCGTATATGCGTCCATAGGGGTGTGGAAGACGTACTGCTGGCTGCTGAAGGCTGAGCCCTCGACTGGCGTGGGCTTCAGGGCTTGAGAGAGACTGTGGGGCGTGTGGGCTGTAGTGCGTAGTGCTTGGGAGAGATATTGGCGGATGGACTACAGTTCTTGGGAGAGGCATGAGGGGGTTGGGCTGCAGGGGCCTCCAACCTGGCGTGTGGGGGGGTGGTGGATGTCACAGCCTCGTCCTCCGCATCTGACACTGTATGCCCACAGGTCCCAGGATTTGCACCTGCGCCCCGAGACCCACTCGTACCTGTCTGAGCTGGGCAAGCCGGAGATGGAATTCATTGAGAGCAAGCGCCCACGCCTAGAGCTGCTGCCCGAGCCCCTGCCTCGGCCCTCAGCTCTGCTGGCCTCAGCCCAGCCCGGTGGCTCCGAGGACCTGGCCAAGGTGAGACTGTCCCCCTTGCCTGCAGGTTCCACTTCCGAGGAGGCCAGGGCCCCGGGGGACCGAAGAAGTGGTGCTGACCTCCTGAGCAGGGCCCAGGGCGTGGTGGGAGATGCCGGCTTCTCTGTGGGGTCTGCTGGTGGGACTGGCAGGAGTGGACACCAGTGGGTGGGTGAACGTGCATTGCCCCCTTCCCTGACCCTATTGGTGAGCTCCTCTGACTTGATTGGTCAGCCCTGGATTTGAACTCTGTGAGGGTGGTCAGCACCCTTGGGGTCTCCTGCACTCAGAGACACTCAGTTTAGGTGACAGAGAAGTTTCCCGGCTCCTGGCGGCTTCCCTTGTTCTCACGCCCAGGCTTCCTGGACCAGAAGAGCCAGGCCCGGGACAGAGGTGTCCCTGCTTGGGCCTGACTCCAGATGGGGTAAACAGTGACATTTGGGGACAAATCCTGATTGGTGGGACAGTGGACAAGTGGCTCACAGGTGGTGACAAATACATTGACAAGCCCAGTGCCGCCGACTGGACGCTGCAGGACAGAGGAGAACTGCCCTCGGGGGTCCTGAGGCCGGATCTTCAGGGACATGAATGTGGCATCTCTCTTCCTTGGAGCTGCTGGCGGGGTCAGACCACCAACTCCCTGCTTAGCAGCCCCGGGCTTTGTCCACCGTGGATGGATCACGTTAATTGAGCGCTGACTGTGTACCGCGGCTCAGGCAGCCCTTAGAGAGGACGGATTCGGTTCCCAGCTGCCGCCGTAAAGCAAGTCCCGTGACTTTTGTGGTTTCCACGCGTCAGGTTATGCTCCCAGTCACTGTGGCCTCTTTCTGGTCACTATGGCCCCTTCTTGGTCACTGTGGTCCCTTCCCGGTCACTGTGGCCCCTTCCCGGTCACTGTGGCCCCTTCCCAGTCACTGTGGCCCCTTCCCGGTCACTGTGGCCCCTTCCCGGTCACTGTGGCCCCTTCCCAGTCACTGTGTGGTCCCTTCGCGGTCACTGTGGCCTCTTTCTGGTCACTATGGCCCCTTCTTGGTCACTGTGGCCCCTTCCCGGTCACTGTGGCCCCTTCCCGGTCACTGTGGCCCCTTCCCGGTCACTGTGGCCCCTTCCCGGTCACTGTGTGGCCCCTTCCCGGTCACTGTGTGGTCCCTTCCCGGTCACTGTGGCTCATTCTGTGTCGTTAACTTCCGCCGAGTCGACCGTGACTCTCGACAACCCGTCGAGTGACAGTTTGCAACTTAGAGTATGATGAGTAGTTTGACAGATTGTGAGAAAGTCCGAGATGGATACAGGGCCTGGAGGTGAGCACGTGCTGATGGGAAAAGGATGCGGGGAGACTTGCTGGGGGGTGAGGGTGTCACAGACCTGCTTGTAGAAATAACGTGGCATCTGCAAAGCAGGGTGAAGTAGAGTATGAGACGTGCCTGTCGGGTGCCAGGTGCAGACCACGACGCATCTGCCCAGCTCAGTGAGCTGTGACCCCCCCCCCCCCGGGGGTGGGCAGGGGGCATCCACCCCCATCACACGGCTGGGGTCTCTCCCTGGCAGCTGCTCCGTATTCCAGCTGACCATCAGGGCATCACTGCTCTGTTCTCCAGGGTGCTGCCCTCTTCCCACGCTGGTGACGCGCCCCCCCCATGCCGGCCCCTTCCTCCTCCTGTGAGTCTGTGGAGGGTGAGGGAGACCACGCTTGGGGAAAACCCTCCCTGGAAGTGAGCGTGGGGTGAGTGCCAGAGAATGGGGAGGAAGGGGGCCTCAGCCTCTAGTTATCGCATCAGTGACACCCCAGAGTGTCACGTGACGCCCCAGCTCACTGTCACACCCTGAGGAGAACCCTCTGCTGCCTCAGCTGGCCGTCTTCCTCGTGTGTCTTCCTCCCACTTGGCCTCTGTCTCCCAGAGAGAGGGAGAGGGA